GCGTGGGCGTGCAGGCATCGTGGAGGAGATGGGGGCGGTGCGGCAGGTGCAGCAGGGCGAGGACGGCGGATGGCAGATGACCGTTGAGGCCTCCACCGTGCTCACGGACGTGCATGTGCGCGCTGGGGGGGGAGAGGGGGAGAGGGGGAGAGGGGGAGAGGGGGGTGGGGGAAAGGGGGAAAGGGGGATGGGGGAAAGGGGGAAAGGGGGATGGGGGAAAGGGGGATGGGGGATTGGGGGAAGACGGGATGGGGGACGTTTTTTGGCGGTTTAAAAGGCAGCTGACTATGCTGAGTGATGCGCATGTGCGCTGGGGGTGGGGGGATAGGGGGGATGGGAGATTGGGTGGGGGGAAGAGGGGAAAAAGGGGGAAGCGGGGGAGAAGGTGGGATGGGGTTGAGAAAAGTCAGAAGTGCTTTGGTAGAGAAGACAGCAAGAGCAGAGGGGGGGAGGAGAGGGATAATAGCATTGGACTGCTACTCCTTTCATGGAGCATTGTACTTGTGTGTTAAATGGGCACGATTGCTCCTTGTGCTTGCGTCTGTATGAGCCTGCTGTAGGTTGTGAGGGATGTTGGGGTGAGAGGGTCGAGTGTGTTTTTGTGTGTCTGTGCTCTTTGTTCTGTGTGCGCAGTTGGGAGACAGCATAGCAGTCAACGGCACATGCCTCACCGTCACAAAGTTTGACTCCTCCTCCTTTGTAGTCGGTAAAAAACTTACACCCATCCCACCAACCTACGTGCACACTCGTCCCTGCCTTCTCATGTACCCTTCTTCCCCGCCCCCCCAACCATCACCCGCGCCCCCTCCCTCCTCCCATGCCTCCTCTCGCATGCGCACACGCACGCTCGCAACCCACCCTATGTCTCTCACTCGCACCCCCGAATCCCCACCCTGACCATCATCTCCTCCCCAAAATCCCCTACTCCTGCCCGCCTGCCTGCATGCCTGCCCGCCTGCCTGCATGCCTGCCTCAGGCCTAGCACCCGAGACTCTCCGGCGCACCAATTTGGGGGATCTTAAGGAGGGCTCGCCTGTCAACCTCGAGCGCTCCCTGCGGGCCGACAGTCGCCTGGGCGGACACTTTGTGCAGGTGACTGAATGCCACTTTCCCATCTCATGCGCTTCAAACCTTGTCTCCTTTCGGGCAGGTTTTCATGGAAAGGTGTTTCTCTCCTCCCCGCTTGTTTGTAGCGCTCTCGCTATGAGGCGTTTTTGATGGCTATTGACAGCTACAGCTCCCTGATGGCAGACAGCCGCCTGGGAGGAGGACTCTTGCAGGTGCCTGGCGGGTGTGCTTTTTTAGGAAGCTTTTGAGAACCTTAGTAAGACACTTGAGGTCTACCTGGGCGGACAATTCGTGTAGTTGACTGTCCTGTGGGGGTGAGAGAGGGGAGAGAGTGTGTGGAGATGGGAATTGGGAAAAGGGGGGGGGGGCGGGGAGAGGAGGAGGAGGAGGACGACGAGAGAGGAATGCACTTTAGCTTTAACGCCACATGGAGGTGGTAAAAACCCGGGGCCTTTCGTGTTAAGCCTCCCTCCTATTACTCTCGTGTCATGGCATGGCATGGCAGGGTCATGTGGATGGCACGGGCGTGATCAAGAGCAAGCGGCCAGAGGGCGATTCGCTCTGGCTGACCGTCCAGTGCGACCCCTCACTGCTCAAGTACATTGTCCCCAAGGTGTGTGCGGCATGGCATGTACGAGTGTCACGGTGTCTGTGTTTATGCTCCTTGCACATCCCGTGCTGGGCATGGGTGTGTGCAGCATGTGCGTCGTAATTGGTGTCTGTTTTCATCCTTCTCACACATCCCGTGGTGGGGGAACATGTTATACAGCATGGCCTTGATCATCTATTTCTTAGGCTAGTAGTCTAGTCTCCTGAAATGTGCACAATTGCCCATCCAGCCTCTCTCCTGCTGCGCGGCTGCGCCTCTCACCTATTGCCCTATGCCTGTATTATCCCCCGCCTCTCCATGTGTGCAGGGCTACATTGCAGTGGACGGAACCAGCCTTACAGTGGTGGAGGTGAACGATGAGGTGGGTCATGAGCAATGATGAGCTATGAGTTTTACTGAGTCACGAGTTATTGAGTTCTGACAGTCTCCATGTGCACGGACAGCCAGCTCTCTGCCCTATTACGAGCTACTGTCTGCTGCCGTTTTTTTGCTTTGCGTGGGTGTTTATTAACGGTTGTCATGCTCTGTGTGTGTGCTTGTGGCTGTGTTTCTGTTGGAGCAGGAGAGCTGGTTCACCTTCATGCTAGTTGCATACACGCAGCAGAAGATTGTGGTGCCGGGCAAGCAAATTGGGGATAGAGTGAACCTTGGTAAGTGTCTCAGTCTCAGTCACTTGGGAGTGCTCCAGCACGAAACAATACCGCATGTAGAGTTTGGAGTGCATCTTGTCATCACTGCCTGCCTCCTTACACCGCTTATGCATTGTTATGTAGACTGAACTCCTTGTGCCTTAACTTTAACCCTTGTCCCCTGTCCCACCCTTCGATGCTTTCAGAGGTGGACATTGTCGGCAAATATGTTGAAAGGGTGATCGCTCCCGCATATAAGTCTAGCCAATAATTCTGTATGTTATTGATCATGGCTAAAGTAGGGGGTTGTGTTTTTGCTGTGGAACATTTCTGGATGAATGAGCAATCTTCACCGAGTTTTCTAAGCAAGTTCGTTTTTTGTGTGGTGTACTCATTTTTTTGCTGAGACTTTTGCCAAGATGCCAGCGGAGCTGGTTCCGCACGTGTCTCCAATCATCGGTGTTTCGTGCAGTGCCAGCCAAACCCAGCGAAACAGCCCTCCACAGCGCCAAAGCGGTCTTCTCTTCGCAAAAACTGCTTCGCGCCACTGCCTGCGCATTCTTGAGAGGCGCGCGACGTTGGGAACTCATTTGGCGATTTTTGCGCGGTCTACTTCTCCAAACGGGCGGGAGGAGTGAACACCCACGACTTAAAAACTTCAGACTCGCGACCCTGATTGGGCGGACGATGAAAAGTGAACGACTTCGCTGTCGCACGGCCTTACCGCTGGCAGCGGCTCGTAGATGTGCGATTCGGTTCCCTCTGCATTGCGGCTCGATTCGCCTGCTCCATTCGCCCTTGACGACACACTTGATTCGTCCGTGCTTTTGAGGCTTTCATCGCTGCTTCCACCCGTAGGCCTCCCGCACCGACTCCTTCGTTAACCGTACTTTCTTCCTCTCCACCATTTATCAATCCTTCTCACCCTTCTCTATAGGTCTCGTTTCCCCCACCCCACCCCTCCCCACTCCCCGCCAACCCCTATCGCATCTCTCCTCCACTCCGATCTCCTCTCACCACGTTTCTTTCCTTCTGCTACCAGACTCAACCCCCAGCACATGCTCCGTCGTGCTCTGTTTGATCGAAGGGCTTGCTTCAGTTACGCAGTTCCCAAATTCACGTTAGCATTTTGTTCTTGCTCTTTTTGTCAGGCATGCGCCTCTGTAGCTCGAGAAACAGGCGCACACATGAATTTGATAGTCGCTTCCATGGATGCGGAGCGCAAGCTCTAGTAGCATTCTGATTTATTTCGACCAGAATCATAGTGACACATGACAAGCGACGAGGCACGCGAGGAAGCGCGCGTCTACTTGCTGGTAGTTCCTTCACCGTGTAGCCGTGTAAATCCGGTGTAACAAGTTCGTGTGAAACTATAGGAGAGAAACCGGTGACTTGAATCCACACACTCGCTCTTGGTCCTGAGACACACACTGCCTAGACTTCGATCACCCGCTGCGGACTTGTCGCCATGGCGGCCCACGCGGATCCCCCGTCGCTGCTAGCGCCGCATATGACTCGTACGTCGCCCGAATCCAGCCGCCCTGAGATAGCTAGACTGCCCTTCCATCTTTCCATCCCGTCCTGTAACCTAGACTGTTCTGCCGAAAATATCATAACTTGTACGGTCTAGTGCATTTTGTAGGGTGCAATACACTCTAGTGTACGAAGCCAGTCAGTTTAACTCTTACCTTTCTCAGAAATCAGGTCATGTTCTCGATGTTGACGTGCGTCGCCGTTTCCTCCTCCTCTCCTCTCTCCTCTATGAAGCATCATTCTGTGGTATGGAGTTCATACGCGATGCTTTACTAACATAATAACGCATACACTCACCTGTTACGATCCGAGTTCCCCGCTTCGTCCTCCCCATCCCCCCCACTCTGTCCCCACCGCCAACCGACCCCCTCCCTTTCCCCATTCCCCCAGCAGCGCCGGCGCTGAGTCAGACGGTGTTGGAGGCATTGGCGCGCAACGACCAGTTCCACGCGCACGTTTCCGCGCTCGCTGCAGGCGGCACTGCGCCGGAGGTATGTCGCGTGCCTGTTTGTGTCACCCATGGAGTCGAGCCGAGCTGGGTCGCGGCGAGTCGAGTTCGGGTCGAAGCCAGCGAGCAGTGACGGTTGGCCCGAGCCGATCCGCGCCGCGCCGAGCCGAACCGAGTCGAGCCAAACCGAGGCTAGTCGAATCGAGCCGCGCCGAATCAGGCCGAGTCGCGCTGGTTCGGCATGAGTTGGCTCAGGATCTATTTTCCCTTGCTTGATGAGCGGTAATGGCGGAAATAACGTCGAATAGCGGGGATGTCGGTTGTGTAGTTCCGTTAGAATTCTAAGGAGCTAAACAAGAAAAATAAGCGTGGCCAATTTCAGTAACCGCACCGCACCTACCGTTTCTCCCCCGCACCGTGTCCCCCCGCCTTTTGATCACTCCAGCCGCCTGACGGCGCGGGTCCCCCTACCTCCGGTCGCACATCCGCGTACCTCCGCCGCCTCTTGGGTCTCGCGGGGGCTCCGCGGGGGTCCAGCGCCTCCGCCAGTAACAGCTCCGCGGAGTCTTCCCCCCGCGCGCTCTTCCACGACCTCGATGCGCGAAATGGGCCCCCACCGGCGCAGGCGTTGGCTGCCGCAGCAGGTGCCGGCGGCGGAGCGCGAGGGGTAGCGGGAGCAGGAGCGGGAGGAGTTCCCATGTTAGGCGGAGTAATGGGCCGTTCGCGGAAAGAGCGCAGCGTCTCCCCGATTCCCGCTGCTTCCCGCCTCTCCCCCTCCGCCGATGCTTCCCGTGCGAAAGCGCGCCAGCACGACCCCAAGGCGCTTGCGCACGCGGCCCTGGCGGCGGTGACTACCGGCAGCGCTGGCGGCGCCAGCGGAAACTCCACCGCAAGGCACGGCGGCAGGGAGCGGGGAGACGCGCTGCGAGTGCAGAGCGGGAGCGAGCACCTCCGCGTGAACTCTCACGGCGTGAACAGAAGCCGCGTGGTGCCGGTTAACGCGTCGATGAATACGAGCGACTCGCCGGGCGCGCATAACGGCTCCGCCTGCGCGGCGGAAGTCGTGGGCGGACGATCAGGCGGCGGAGCACAAGAGGCGGAAGGAGAGTGTCGGCCGCGCGCGGCAGGAGGCACCACTGCTGGCGGAACCAGGACCGCCGAAACCTTGGACGGAGGCGGTGATGGCGCAAGACCGATCGCCCCAGGGAACGGGCTTGGGGCGGAGTTGGGCGTAGAAATGGGGGAGGCGGCGGGCGGGGCGTTGGGTTTTTCCGCGGCCGGGCGGAACGCGGGAGGCAACAGTGCTGCGCAAGATAGCGCGAACTTCCCGCCCGAGGAAGCGGCTGCAGGCGGAATGGGCGCAGCAGCGGCTCCTGCGGGGACCGCGCGGAAGAGCAGCAGCGCCGGCTCTACGATCAGCGGCGGAAACTCCGCGCGAGTGAGGCGCAGCCACGACAAGAAAGGGGTATCTGCCACGTCATCAGGCGGCTCGACGAGCAACCCGTCTCTCCGTGGAGGCGAGAGCAGGAGTCGAGCCGCCAAGGGACACGTACACGTCGCCTCCAGCGGCCACGTCGCCGGGGATGGCGGCGGGGATGGCGGCGGAAGTGGCGGAGGCAGCGGCTGCTCAAGCCCGCTGACTGCGAGCGCGCTTGCGAGGCTTCCCGGCGGCGATGTAAAGCGCGGCTCGTCGTCGCGGCAGCAGAAGCAGTCGCGTCTGCTACAGGAGGTGGAGGAGTGGCTCCAGTCCGCCTCCCCCGCCACCCCCGCGGAGGCGGAAGCCGCCGCCGCCGCCGCTGCGGCGGCCATGGCGGCGAGCCGGGAAGGGGAGTGGCGGAAGCAGGAGGCGCGGGAGGCGGGGGAGGGGAGCAGGGATGGGGGGAAGGAACGGCAGGGGCGGGGTAGCGAGCGAGCGAGAGAGAGGGCAGGGGGGACGGAGTACGGATCACGTGCGAAAGAGAAGGGAAAGGAGAGGGAGAGGGGTAAAGAGCGAGTGAGGGAGCGAGTACGGGAGGAGAGAGGGGACGAGGGGAGAGGAGGGAGAGAGAAGGAGAGGGAACGAGAGGAGAGGGGAGTGGTTGCGGCGGCGGCAGGGAGGAACAGCTTGGCAGAGAACAAGAATGGCAATGGGAGAGGCAACGGCAAGGGGAGCAACCATGAGAGTGGCAGTGGCTGCAGTAGCAACAGCAACAACCACAGCCACAGCCACAGCCAGCCTGCGCAACAACTGATGCAATCAGCGCAGACAGCGCAGCCAGGGCAAGGGGGGGCGGAAACCGCAGGTGGATTGGGGGAGGCGGGGAAGGAAGGGGGGAAGAATGGCGGAGCGGGAGCTGGCGATGGCGCGGTGGGTGGCGGCATTTGGCAGCTTGTGCGGGAGGACGGGCAGGAGCACAGCCCGGTGTCGACACTGGACTTCAGTCAGGCTGCTCGGCCGGGTGGAGAGGCAGAGCCCGAGGGGCGAGAAGGTAACTGGGGTAAGAGAGAGCCCCGTTGGAGTTTCCTTCCATTTCTGCTGCTGCTGCTGTTGCTGCTGTCGCTTGTTGCAGCTCAGCAGGGTTCTGATGCTCCTATGTGCTTCAACATGCGCTGCCCCTCTCTCAGTTCCGACCCCACCTCAAATTGTAAAGCGTCCACCCCCAACAACTCTCTCTCCTTGCACACCCCCTCCCTCCGTGTGTGTGTTGTACCCTGTGCAGTGCCGACTATACCGCCCGTGTCCGCCTCTGTGTCGTCCGTGCGGCCATCCAAGATCGTGGTGCTGCCAGGAGACATGATGCCCCGGGTGCGGCCTTCCAAGGAGGACGGACCACCGCATCCGCATGCACTTGCTGATGATCCCTCCTCCTCCTCCGGTCCTGCCCACAGCAACCCTTTTCACCCGCACCATCAGCAGCATCGGCAGCATCAACCGCTGTCACCATCTCATAGCAAGCATCACCATCACCACCACCAGCTGCATCAGCAGCAGCGGCTCCAGCACCAGCAGCAGCAAGAGCAGAAGCAGCAGCAGCAGCAGCAGGTGTGTCAACGTGAGGCATCATCAGCTGTGGTACCCCGAGGCAGCACCGGGGCTGGTGGTGCAGCAGTCAGCTGCTCGGACCAACCGGGGCACGGAACACCGGGCATGGGCTCTGGAATTACCATGGGCGCGAGTGGAGGCGCATGCATGCAGTCAGGCGCTCCCATGCACGCGAACAGCACGATGGGGGGCATGGGAGGAATGGGAGGAATGGGAGGAACGGTGGCCATTGGAGGCATGGATGCAGAGGGCATGGAGCAAGATCTAGACTATGTGCGTCACATCCTCATAGCAGCTGGCTTTGCTGGTCCTCGCCTCCCCCCGCTCCACTCCCAAGACCGCCCCATCCCGCCGCACATCTTCCCTCACTTGGAATCCAGCATCGTTGCTGCTGCGTCCCCTCGGCCGCTGCCGTCTTCAGCATTCCCCCCCGGAAGCACACAGGCGGAGGCGGAGCATGCGAAGAGAGCGGAGGAGCGACGGCAGCGGCGACTGCTATTTGACGCTGTGAATGAGGCACTGGGCAGACGGCTCGGGCCTTATGTGGAGCTTCCGGTCTGGGCGGAGGGGTTACGGGAGCCGCTGGTGCGGCCGCGGCCGGTGGGGCTGGCGCTGCTGCAGGAGGTGTGGGGGGAGATCCACGACTGGCCTGTGGCGGCGTCGGAAGAGGTTTATGATATTCTGGATGATGCGGCGAGGAGGGATATGGGGCGGGGTGTGGATCGATGGGTGGATGTAATTGAGGAGATTGTGGGGGTGGTGAGGGAGGTGGAGGAAGCTGTGACGATGCAGTTGATTGGTGAGGTGGTTGGGGAGATGACGGATGTTGAGAGGCAGAGGAAGGCTCGGCGAAGGACTGCTTCTGCTGGCGGTGGCCCGTCAGGTGGTAGTGGTTCTGCGCCTGCTACCCCAACAAGGAGGCTTCTGAGGTCTAGTAGTGGGGGAGGGCTGTCGGTGCAGGAGTTGGTGGGAGGAAAGAATGGAAACCCTTTAAAGGGATTCCGGTGGCTGGGAAGAAGAGGGCTTTAGTCAATGGAATAAATGGGTTAGAGAATTTTTAGTAATCTAGTTGGGATAAATTTGAGGAGTGGTTTAGCTCGGCTGGATGTGCACGTAGGTAGAGTTGTGTCTGTTATGAATTTGTTTCCCATGCTTTTCTCATGCATGAAAAGTGTAGCATCATTTGTCCTGTCAAGGGCGCTGACTTCTGCTCCTGTCGAGTCTCGCTTTTCTATTTGTCAGTGGCACGTCAATCTGCCTTGCTGTCAGGGTGTCAGAAAGTAAGGGTACCACATTGGCACTTCTTCTCAAACCGAGTCCGAACCACTAACCTTACCTGCAATCAGGCTTGGGGACGGTGAGAAAGATTTCTGCCCCTTTCAAAGCCAATCACATATCATCATTTTCTCCAAAGCTCACTTGACCCCTACCAAACCACACACCAAAAGATACCCGTCACGCGGCGCTTCGGGCTCTTTGATTGCATAGCGGGGAGTCGGCGGGCGGGGGTGGCTTCCGCCTCGAAGGAGCCTTGGGCTGGCTTGTGGCTGCTTTTTTGCCAGACCAGACGTGGTCTGGATGGGGCTGAGATCTGCCCGAACCTCTTTCACTGTTCGCACGGGCTTTCCACGGGAAGTTCCCAGCCAACAATTTTGGTTTCGCGCCATTTTGTAAGGTCACCCAGCCCGATGGAGTGGGGGCACAGCTCGATGTGACCCCCTTGCCTAGAGATCATCGCACGGACGTCTGTTGAAATCAGTCACCTGCTCATTTTCCGTTCCCAGATTCTCAAGCTGCTTTTCATTGCTAGCTCATCGTATCAGCTAATCGCTCTCTTATGGGAGCCGACAGGAAAGTATAGCTGCTTACCGACCAGGCTACTTGGTCCTGCGTCGAATCTCTTCCTCTTTAGTGCCAAGAGTAATAACAATATACAATGACCGTTCAAACATCAGCGAGTTTATAGTATCAATGGGGTGCTTCAGGCGAAGTCATTTTCGCCATTAGCTTCATACAAGGTTCCCGCTGCGCCTCACCTCAACTGCTTCTTCTCTGCACAAAGCTTCTAAACTTCTTGACATTTTTGTCGCTTGGCCGTCAACATGGGGATGAATCGGCAATATGTCCCTCTCGACCCCACAAGAGGGTAAGACGCGTTTCCGGACTCGCTTCTTCCCTATGTTACCTATCTGTTCGGTCGTTTTAGAATGTTTTCAATACTGTCTTTCAAGTTCCAAGTAAGCGAAACACACGACGCACCAGATCCGTAATACATTAGCTTCATGGCCCCTGTCATGGAAAGACTGGATATATCAAAGAAAATGTTGTATACAGGTCGAGCAGAACACGCGTCATGATAAACTTCGCTTCTTGACCCTTCTCTTCTTAACATCTTAATCGGCTCCCTACGCTCGCTGATGTATTTCCTAGTGACTCGTTCATCCATGTTTCCCTCTCCTGTACTCGCGGTTCTTTTCGCCTATCTTTGTACATCATGATACCCTCGGGTTTTATTTTTACGGGCTGACATGAATCTTCCTCTCCTTTGCAAGCGTTCCTCTGCCGCGCTCGCAGCTCATGGCTCTCCCTGAACTTCCTCTTTGTGCTCAACCATTTTCTCCGTTGTTGCCTCGCAGTGGGAAGTCGTCGGCTATCATCCTCGCCTTCGCCATGGCCGGCAGTGTCGCCATCCTCGCCGCGTCCGTCTTCCTCGGTGTGAAGCTCGCGTCGATGCAAGGAGAGGAACCCCCTCCACCTCCCGCTCCGCTACCGCCCCCGCCCATCAACGTCACCATCACGTCCAAGATCCAGATGGCCCTGCTCTTCCTCGAAACCCAAAAATGTGAGTTGCGCCTTCAAACATTTACAAAGCAGCTAAATGAATTAGTATCTCTGAAAGCTTTCAGAAAAAGGAGAAGGACGTGTGCCCAGATCTGAAAGATTTACCGCATGGTACCTCATATCAATGACACGCGCATTTCTTGTTGCTGGTTTCAGCGGGTAAACTACCCCCGGATTATCCCATCACTTGGCGAAATAACTCGGGGATGCGGGACGGCCAGGATCAGAACCGGGATCTACGGGGCGGATACTACATCGGCGGCAGCAACATCAAGTACCACTTCCCGCTGGCCTACACCGTGACCATGCTGTGCTGGTCGCTGCTGGAATACGAATCCGTGTACCGGCTCGTGAATATGCACAACGAAATGGCGGAGCTTATAGACTGGGGTGTACAGTACATCCTCGCTTCAAGATACCAGGACCTGATCTTCGCGCAGGTGGGCACGCCCGAGATCGACGACGTGTGTTGGATCCGACCGGAGGACATGAAGCCCGCGCAGCGCCCCACCATGTTCCCCTGCGACGTGACGCACCCCTGCTCCGACCTCGCGGGTGAATACGCCGCCGCCCTCGCCGCCGCTTCGCTCACGTTCCGCGTGGGTAATCCCGCGTACGCGGACCAGCTTCTGCAGAGCGCGGAGGAGATTTTTGAATACGCGGACCAGTACCGCGGGAAGTACAGCGACTGGGTGGAGGCGGCGCAGGCGGAGTATAACTCCACGGGGTACGGCGACGAGCTCATGTGGGGCGCCACGTGGCTGTACTTCGCGTCAGGAGACACCAAGTATCTGGACTACGTGATCGGGCCCAACTCGTACATCTTCGAGACGAACCAGTGGGGTCCTGGCACGAAGACGTTCGACTGGGACAACAAGTCACCCGGCGTGCAGGTAAGCTGGGAGTCTGGGAGTCCCATTCGGCATCGAGGGCGAAGAAAGCAGCGTAGCATTGATCCGTGAGCTGGCCTGGCCTTGCTGAATGTTGGCGTTCTTGGATGTCAGGCCTGAAGCGGTGCTTGTGTTCGTCGCTCGTAGATCGTGCGGTAGAGGCCATGCTAGGGGTGCTTATCCTGTCTGCCTTGCGTCTCTCGCCTACGCGTGCAGGTGCTGATGACGCGGCTGCTGATGCTCGGGTACGGGGCGGGCAACGAGGGGCAGATCCCGCAGTACCTGCAGACGTACCTCAACGCCGCGAAGCTCTACGTGTGCCAGCACACGCCGCACTGGCTGCACGCCAACTTCACCGACAGCGGTATGTGGCCCTAAAAAGTGTTTCTTCCGGCACCACTCCCCCTTTCCCATAACCTCTCCATCCCCATCTACCTCTGTGCCATCAACCCATCCCTCTAGCTTCAATACCCTCTCTCATTCTCTCTCACTCCTGAACTCCCTCCCTCAACCCGGGCGTGCAGGCGGGCTGATCTACGTGAGCGACGACCATCCGATCCAGTACGCGGTGAACGCGGGGTTCCTGTCGGTGCTGGTGAGCGACTACCTGCGCATCGCCATCAACGCCAACGTCTCCTCGCACTACCTCGACTGCGACGCCACCATCGACGACATCGTCGACTTCGCCGCCTCGCAGGTGCGTGCTCTGATGGGTTGTTTTCCCCTGATCATATGGAAATAGCAGTACCGAGATCGTGTCAGCTGTGCGCCGCCAAAATGGAACGTTGTTCTTTTTTGGCCGCCGTCCACGTGACTTCTCTTCTTGCGTCCCTTCATGCGTAGCGCTTTAGTTACACTCCGTACCAACTCGCTGGTTGCGCTGTGGTTGTGCGTGCAGGTGAACTACATCCTGGGCGACAACCCCCAGAAGATGAGCTACATGGTGGGCTTTGGGGAGAAGTACCCCACGCGCGTGCACCACAGAGCCGCCTCCATCACGTCCAAACATGTGGACCCCACGCCCTTTGACTGCGCCACTGGCCAGCGCTTTAAAGTGTAAGTGCACACGCTCCCTGTAAGGTTCAAACAGTAGGGTAGAAATTGAAACCTCTGAATTAGTTCACACATGCAACATGCGTAAGTTCACTGAATTACAACCTCAAAGTATTCGCAACCTTTTTGAAAGAGTATTTGTGCTGTCCTGGCATGCTGCACCCGTCCCTTCTCTCTCTGGACCACTTTCCCCCCCCTCCAGATCCAAGTACCCCAATCCAAACGTTCTCGTAGGAGCAATCGTGGGCGGTCCAGCACGCGACGACTCCTACCTGGACGACCGCACGATCCCCCAGCAGAGTGAGCCCCTGCTGCACCTCAACGCTGTCTTTGCCGGGCTCCTTGCCAGCCTGGGTGCTTTCCGCAGCGGCAACAGCCCTGGCAACTCGCTCACGCGCATGTGGGCGCAGATTCCCTGGGCTAAGAAATATGCCGAGTCCCTTGAGGAGCTCATTCCCAAGCCCTACCCCTCGCCACCCAAGCCGCCTGTCTCCCCTCCCCCCTGGAGGACCCCTCCCCCCAAGGCTCCCAGATTTCCTCCCAAGCGCAATGGCCCCAGCCCCCCTCCTCCGTATGTCAACCCCCCGCCCCCCTCACCCCCTCCCCCGAGCCCCCCTCCTCCCCGGCCAGTCAAGAGAACCCCACCTGCTCCTCCGCTGTTCTTCAAGGGCCAGGGGAAGTGGAAGCTGCCCCCTGCCCTCCCTCCCAAAACTGCTCCCTCGCGGAAGGTTCTGCCTCCTGCTGGCAAGCTTCCTTTGGTGCATGCTCCTCCTGCCATCCCCAAGAAGCCTGTCAAATTGCCCCCTGTTGTGGAAGCACCTCTTGGGAAGATCCCTGCAGTTGTAGAGGCACCGCTTGGGAAGATTCCTGCTGCTCCAGCTGCTAAGGTTCCAGCTGCCAAGGTTCCAGCTAAGGTCCCAGCTACTAAGGCTCCTGTCCCTGCAGCAAAGGCAGTGGCCCCAGTCAAGGAAGTTCCTGCAACGCTCACCCCTGTTGCTGCAGGAAAAACCGCTGCATCGGCTGCGGGTAAAATACCTACGGTTCCTGCAGGAAACCCTGCGATTGTGCCTTAATCGTTGGCTAGCTGCAGGAGTATGCATTGGGTTTAGTCATCGGTGGCTAGGCAATTATAGCTAGACACTTATATGCTCTAGGCAGTATGGGGTTGTGCTGTGAAATTGTTTGAACACGTAACTCTGCATGAACTGCTCTATGGTCATAAAGGGATCCCAACGCAGAGTGAGACCTTATCTGGTCGTGTGGGCAGTTGCCCGTTGCTACTTATGGTGTCCTTGGCATTGCATAATGCTTCCTAGGCCTCTTGCACAGGAAGTTTATGCCTGCCCTCACAATGGAGTTTGGCTTTGACCATGGCTTTGACCACAATGCAGCGCCGTTGCATGTCCACCCTACACCCTGCGCCGTGCATGTCTCCCTGTTTGCATGTCCACCCTGCACCAATGCACTCAGCATCTGATATCGAATAACGTTGGACAAATCTGGTCCATCAGAAAGGATCTGTACACATTATGCAGAGTACTTGTAGGGAGGTAAAGTGGTCCTGCTGGTTGTTACTGAAGCAAAATATTTAAATATTGTGAGGCAATTATATGCCAGGTTACAATACATCACTAGTATCACTAAACTCTAAAAGAGAAGCTGAAACCTGGATTTTGTATTTACCATTCGCTGCCAATGCTCGCAAGTGCCCGCATATCGGATTGGGAAAATATGTCACAAGTAACCAACTTGGGACTCGATAACGTGAATGGCAACAGATTCAGTCACTAACAACAGGCAAAAATCACGGATTCATATGGCACAGAACACCGCCACAATCAGCAGCAGGCGCAGTGGCACTACAGTGCAGTATTGCACAGTTCCCCTTCTTCCCGCCGAACCGTTTTCCCAAGCTGTACCCGCCACGGACCACTGCCCAGCTGAACCGCTTTTTTGACTCGGCGTCAGCATCACCGCAGCCCCGCTGTCCCCGCCCGCTCGCTGGTCAACGACCGTCCGCCGACGCAATCGCCGTCATCACCCCCTCGGCACTGCTGTCGTATCGGAAACAGCCACAGTCCGCCTGGTACTGTTACTGTAACTCCCCTTTCCCCGCCGGACCTACCCCCCGAACCTATCCGCTTCCCACACATAACCCCCTGTCCCCCTTCTATCACAGCTTCCACTGCCCGAACCATCTCCGCTTTCCGCCTTCGCCCAAGAATCCCCCCCTTTTCAACAAGCATACCAGACTGGAGGGGTTAGGGGGGCGCTGTTCTCCGCGCCCGAACCGTCAGTTACTGAAGCTTATGGCCCTTTCGCGCTGTTCACAGGCCAACTCACCTCCGCTCCCCCTCCCCTTGTTCCCCCCTCACCCCCCCACCTTCTCCCCTCTCCTCACAGCGCTCTCGCACCAGTCCAATTTTCTTCGCTCCGCTAGAAGGGAATGTGGAGATTAGGGCTGTCCTGATCAATTCCCTGGTTACCTGCATAGCACATGCTATTGAGTTCATTTATTACCCACATCGCGTATGTTGGAGTACGATGCATGTGGAAGATTAGTTTCGTTGTAGCAGCCATCATTCGTTTCCCGCATTTGATTTCCATACGTATGCCCGTTTCTACGTCTACACCTCTTACCTTAGGAATCGACAACGATACTTATCCCTCCATGGAAACTTGATAACGCGCTTGTTGTTCTCGAGGGAGCAACGGGAATAAGTTGGTGTTCTCGTCACCATTTTTGTTCGTCAAGGCGCATTGGCCGCTCGCTCGGCCTTTGCTGTTGCTGCGTCGGGTGTGGATTGCTGGCCTCTATTCTGTTCGTTTTTTCACTACCAATCCCGATTGCTGTCGATGCACGCAACGCAAGCGACCAACTGCCGTGCCGAACCTACGGCGCGGGTTCATTGACAGGAAAGCGTGCTAAGAAGCATGCGATGAACCGATGGGAGATGCCTCCATGGGAGACCAGATGACGTCCCCGAGAGGGCCTGCGGTTGAAGGCAAGGGGTGGTGATTGGACGCGACTGGAGCGAGCAGCGTCAGTGGTGAGGACGGAGGAGAACGAGAGAAAGCGGAAAGGAGGCGGAAGGCAGGAAGGAAGATTGACTTGGGAACCGTAGGACGATAGGGTAGGAACTAGGGAGGAACTATTAACTAACTAGGAAGAAGCTTGACAGGATCTCGGGAGCGACTAGAGCGGAAGTAGGGAGGAACTAGCAAGTAACCTCGACCTCGCGAGGTGCGTACGTAGAAGGAAAGCATCTGGAAGCATCTGGAAGCATCTGGAAGCGGGAAGGACGAAATTAGGTCAGGAAAGTGGACAGCGGAGGGGTGTGATCGTTCGGCCGACCAAGGCGAGTTTGGAAAGCGTTCAACGGTCGGGGGACAGATGGAGAGGCATGACGAAGAGGGTCAGAGGATCGCCATGCGGCCTAACAGCATGGAGCGGGTTAGCGCCGCTGCCGCCGCCGCCGCCGCCGCTGCCGCTATGGGTAGCCCGGGAAGCGGCGGCAGCAGCGGCAGCGGCGGCAGCGGCGGCAGCGGGATGATAGACGCGTCGTTCCTTCGGCCGCGCGGCCGCTCGTCGCTATCCGTGTCGCACAGACGCGCCACGGAAGGCGACCCGACGCCGGGCGAACTCAGGTAAGCGACCCGGTGGTTCTGGTTCAACCTAGCCCAGGCGATCAACCTAGCCCAGTAACCGGTGGCGTGTGGCTTACAGCCTGGTGAGAGTGTACTGGCCGTCGGTTGTTGCCTTTGCATTGTCTCTATTTGCTGGCGACCCACTAATTTAGGCAGGCTCCACGGGGACTGTGAAGTGGTTAGCTAGGCTGATAGTATACGCCAAACGAGAGAAGCAGTTGTTATCTTCCTGTTTTGGGGCCTCTGTTCTATCCCAAGGTTTTTTCTTTCCCGCATGACTCCCCACCCCCCCACCCCAATTTTCCTCTCCCCTCTCCCGTCCCCATCCTGTTCGTCCCCTCCACCCGTCCTTGTTGTCTGCATGCGGCTTGGTGATGGGATGTGACATGACGTGGCATGACTTGGTGTGGAATGGACTGGGCATGGCATGGCATGGCATGGCATGGCATGGCATGGCATGGTGCGTGGGTGGGCGACACCCCACCTCCCCACGCACGCCACAGCGACACTCAGGGTCGTAGGCCGTACCTCACAGGCGATCCTGGCATGGACGGCTATCGCAGGTACGCCATGCCATGGCGCGGAATCAGCAGACGCCTGCAGTGCTTTCTTCCTTCCATTGCTTCCTTCCCCCCATCCGATTCTTCCTCCAATTCCATTCTCCCACCCCATCCCTTTCTTCCCCCAATTCCCTTCTCCCCCTCATTCCATCCTTTCCCCCATTTATTCCACCCTCATTCTTCCCCCAACGTTGGCTTTTGGCCGTCCCGTGCTCTCTCCACTCCACGCCCTCTTCCCCACCTCTGCTCTCCTCCCCTCCCCCCCCCCCCTCTTTCCCGAATCCCGTTACAATCCACGCGCGTTCTTCGTCCGTGCAGTGCTGGTGACTACGGCAGACGATCCATGCTCAGCGATAGGTGCGCTGCTCCCATCTCACTCACTACCTCTCGCGCCGCTCCCATCTCCCTCCCGCCTCTCCTCTCCTCTCCCCGCCCGCCTGTCCGTTCTCCCCTCTCCCCCCACCCCCTCCCCCTCTCGCCTTCTCCCACATCCTTATCCTGGCTTCTTCGCAATGCTGCACGTGCCCTGTTGCCCTTTCGCGCCATGTCTCTTCCTACTCATCTGTTCTTGTTTGCCCATTCCCCTCCTTGCACACGCCCTCCCTCGCTCTCCCTGTCTTCCGCTCTCACCTTCGCCCGCCTGTCCCCCCCCCCCCCCCCCCCCGCCCCACTTTCGCCTCTGTGCTGCTCTCTCCCCTCTCTCCTCCCTCGCCTGTGTCCCATCCCATGGCAGCGAGTACACGAGGAGGCCTGCAATGATGAGGGAGAGGGGAGACGTCTACCGCAGGTGGGTGGGTCAATCCATGCATACATGCATCCATGCGTGCATCCATGCATGCATACATGCGTGCATGCATACGTGCATGCATGCTCTTCTCCACCATCCATCTTCTCTCGCCACCCCCGCCCTCCTGCCTCTAGCCTCTGTTCCGCCGCCTCTGGTTTCCTGCTGCTCATTCTATTGCCTCTCTGAGTCTGCCGTTGTGTAGATACATGTGCGACCCACGTGCTGGTACGTGTGCGTGCATCAATCCGGAACCTCCGCACACGTATCCAGCACCCTGCTGCTCGCACGTGGATTTTGCTCACGCTTTTGATATCTCTTCCTCCGTCCGTTCCCATTCCCTCTGCCATGTGGGCAGCGTCACCACTCTTCACCACGCAAAACCCTTCTGACCCTCCCCTTCTTCTCACCCACCATTCCCCATACTCGACCTTCTCTCTCTGCCCGCCCTTGTCTCTCTCCCCGCCCTTCTCTCTCTGCCCGCCCTTCTCTCTCTGCCCGCCCTTCTCTCTCTGCCCGCCCTTCTCCCTCTGCGACCCACTTTCCCCAACAGCTCTCGACAAATGGGGCCCTCTCTCTCCTCCCTCACCGGCTCGTCTCTAGACCCCGTAGACTCTGCCTTCTCCCAGGCCGCAGCTTACACCTCTCGCTTCCAGCAGCAGCACCAACAGCAGCAGCAGCAGGCGCCACATTCGCAGCAGCAGCAGCAGCAGCAGCTGCAGCAGCCGCCGTCGTTGCTGGATGGAGGGAACACAGCACTGGGAGGCACGGGCGTGGCAGCCGCAACCAGATCGTAAGGATATTGCTGTTTCAGTCTTTAGAGGACATGGCCAAGTCAAGTACTGCTTTTGAGGCGGACCCAGAAGGGTATAAAAGAGATTGATCATAGCCAAATTAAATGCTATGTCTGTCGCGGTGCCCCACCTCCAAGTTTAATTTATGGATGCACCTGTGGCTCTCTTCCTTACCCTTGCTCCCTCTCGCTCCTTCTCGCTCCCTCTCACTCCCTTCCTCGCTATCTCGTGCCCCTCTCACTAAATTTGTACTCACCGACTTCTTTTTAAACATCCCCCCCGTCCCTCCCCTTTTTTTCCCCTCACCCTCACCTCCCCTCATCATGAAACGTTGCACATAGCTCTCTGGCTGCTCCTCCCGCCTCCACTCATCTCTTCGTCATCTTCACACCCCTTGTGCCCTCCCCCCAGTGTGGAGCGCTACATGTCGTACCTCTCGGGTCGCTCCTCTAGACGACCCAACCTGGCAGCCAATCCCAACCCTCTCCTCATCCCCGCCGCCTCCTCAGGGGCCTTCGCTGGCTCCAATATAAGGTGCGCTCGGCTTGGCTCAGTGGTGGGTTTCTCTCTAATCTAATCTTGAGGTGCCTCAAAAATCGTCTCGGGGGCCTTCGCTGGTTCCCGGCTCGGCGCAATGGTGGGTTTCTTTCTGATCTGATCCAGGCGGGCTTAGTTGCAAGGTAAGCTTCATTGAGGTGCTTGTGTTGTGGCTGTGATGTGAGAGGAGGTGTGGGGTGTTTGGTGGCTCTGATTATGGCTTATTGCTCGCACTCCTCACCTTCCACCCCTCTTTGCACCCCTTGTTCGTCCCTCCCTCCTCTCTCCCCCACCCACCGCATGTCTCCGCTGTTCCCGCTTCGCTCCTGCCCCATTCTCACGACTTGTGACTTGTCCGCACCACTTTCTGCGCTGTGCGCTGTGCGCTGTGGGCTGTGGGCTGTGCTCTGTGCTCTGTGTGTATGCCCTATGCGCCCTGAGTGTGCGGTGTGCAGCCCCACGAGTGAGCCCGAGGCCAATGCGTTCCGCAGGCACCGCAGCCGGCGACGAGCCATACAGGAGGACCGCATGGCGCTGGGGGGCAGGTGAGCCGTGGGGTTGGGGGGTTGAGGGGGGGATTGGATGGGGGAACCGGATGGGGGGACATCACTTCCCTTCTAATATGAGTCAAGCCGGCGACGAGCCATACAGGAGGGCCGCATGGCCCTTGGGGGCAGGCGAGCCGTGGGGTTGGGGGGTTGCAGGCGGGCTGGATAAGGGACAGGCACTTGTGGGGATGCAGACGTGCGGATACTCACAGGCGCATGGGTACACTGCACAGCACATGTGCACGTGCATGGACTGGGCTTGATGTGACAATGGGGATGCACAGCACAGAATGGATTTGCACTTGCAAACACCAACGCTTGTCGAACTTAATGTGATCCGCATGCCCGCCTACTCTCTCGACTGCTGCTTGTGCCTTGGTACACACATGGTTCGTGGCACTTGCATGCATGGTGTACTGCCTACATACAAAGACCGCCTGTCAAGCAACTTCATTACGCTCTCTCATGTGCAATCCCGCACCCCCCACCCTTTCCGCACTCAATCATCCTTCCCCACGGCAGCAGCAGGATGCACATGCTGCACACGCGGTCAGGCGCGCTGCAAGGCACGGCATCCCCAGGGGAGGGCGGCAGCGGGGGTAGCATAGTGGGCATGGGCATGGGGCACGGGGCGAGCGGGGCCGTGAGTGAGAACGAGGGCGCCATGATGATGCTGGGCGGCGGGGGCGGGGGCAGCGGTGGGCGCATGGCAGGGTATGGGCATGGCGGGGCGTACCGCATGGCTCGAACTCCTTCCTCCAACTCCATAGATGGCGGGTGAGTGGGAGCGAGGGAGGGTGGGTGGATAGGAGCGCGGGGGGCTGGCTGGGACGGAGGCTAGGTGGGTGCGAGAGAGAATGGGTGAGTGGTTGGGTGGGCAGGTGGGGAGGGAGCATGGGTGGGCATGCCTGGGTGCGCCTGTGCTGGATGATGCTGCACAAGCAGGCACGCGCTTGCTTGCGGTATGATCAACTTTGAATTCGTTTAATAGAATGTACACGTTTCATTGTGCGCCTGTCCCTCCTTCCCCCTCCTATTCTCCCTCCTTCGCCCCTTCCCCCCCCCCCTCCCCTAACAGCACGGACTCTGGGCCTGAGGGCGTAGGGAGCATGGGCATCTGTTTTGAGGCATCTCAAAAGCATTTTCTCCTTCCCCTCCCCTCCCCTCCCCTTCTCTCCCCTCCCCTCCCCTCCCCTTCTCTCCCCTCCCCTCCCCTCCCCTCCCCTCCCCTCCCCTCCCCTCCCCTCCCCTCCCCTCCCCTCCCCTCCCCTCCCCTCCCCTCCCCTCCCCTCCTCTCCCCTCTCCTCTCAACAGCACGGACTCTGGGCCTGAGGGCGTTGGGGGCATGGGCGTGCATGCAGGAGGCATGGTATCAGGAGGGCACATGGGCATGGGCATGGGCATGAGCATGGGCATGGGTATGGGTGGGTTGGAGGATGGGTATGTGTCATCGCCAGCAGGAGGCATCACGAGTCCCATGGCAGCAGCTGCTGCAGCCGCCGTTGCTGCTGTCTCTGGCGCCTCTAGGTACTGCTCTGCTCCATCCTGTCTTGGCCTCTCGCCCTGCTCGCTCCCGCCCTGCTCGCTCCCGCCCTGCTCATTCCCGCCCTCTATGCTGCTCGCTCGTTCTTTCTACTCCCTCCCTCCCCTCGTTCCTTCACACCCCACCTTTGCACTTGTCCTCCTGTCTCATGCGAACCATACCCTACTCGCTCCTTCCAACCCCAACCCTGCCCCACCGCTGCCCACCGCAGCAGCAGTCCAGAACACCCGTTCATCTTTTGACGCGTCTCAAAGTTCTACCCTCCTCTCCCGAACCCCTCCCTCTCCTGCCCCACCGCTGCCCACATCGCAGCAGCAGTCCGGAGCACCCGTTCATATCAGCGCGGGCCAAGGCGTCACTGGGCCTCATGCACCGCAGGGCAGCTGACTCGGCCATCGCCTTCAGGTGCGTGCCACCCCGTGTGCCCATGTACCCGCGTGCTCCCGTGCCCGTGTACCCGTGTGCTACACTCGCTTACTCCTGCCATTCTCACCTGTCCCTTGCCATCCACCCCGTCCCTCCCACAGCACCCTTTTTTCCACCCCACAAAACATATCTTGAACCACACCGTACTTCTGAGACGTCTCAAAAGCCCTCCCACAACACCCTTTTGTTAGAATATATATTGTAGCATGCTAAGCACATGTGACTGTACACCAATTGTGGTGTACAGTTGGGTTGGGACTACACCCAACATTGGGTGTAGTCTTGCACTTTGGGGTGCCAATCCACCCAATTGTGGTGGAGCCCCCAAATTGCAACCCTCTTGACTTTTGGGTACCTCACTTCCCAATTGAGGCCACCACAAGCCAAGTGGGCCTAGGGTTGCCTCACTTCTTAGAAGTGTGGGCAACCCAACCCACCCCACCTATGGTTACCTCACTTCCCAAAGTGAGGCCAACCCAACCATAGGTTGGGTTCCTCCTTCCCTTCCAAGCTTCTCTTCCCAAACTATGTATGCTAGGTTTGCTCTCTAATCAAATCACTTGTTCAATTCACATCTTTCACACCTTTCCCCTGCACAAATCATTTCCTTCAACCACACCGTACTTCTCCTCCACCCCCGTGTCCTGGTTGACTTGCCCACGTACAGGCGGAGTGGAGCAGGGTCAGAGGATGCCGATACCCCCCAAGGCTCCCTCAGGTTCGCTCGCACCCTTTGCCTCCCCCCTTCACTCAAAATGTCAAGGCGCCTCAGAAATGGTCAGAGGATGCCGATACCCCCCAGGGCTCCCTCAGGTTCGCTCGCACCATTTGCCTCCCCCACCTCCCACACCCCTCATATTCCCAGTCCGCTTTCGCGCTCTTGCTACTTTGCTCTCCTGCTCGTTTGCAATTGCCTCTCGCCTCTCCCTTTGTGCACTAAAGCTTTGCACAAGACGGCTGACTCCCTCTCTCTCTCTCTCTCTCTCTCTCACACACCCTCTTTCCACCTCATTCCGTATCCCTCCCCTCACCCCTTCCCCACCCTCTCCCCTCTCCCCTTATACTACGTAGCGTAGCACCATCAACTCAGAAGGCCACCTGCCTTCTGCCCCAGGCTTGTCTGACCTGAAACCCCATGCCACCATGCCACCATGTCTAAACTTTTTGTTCACCTCAACCCTGCTCTTCCTATCTCCTCCGCACCCCGTTCCCCTCCTCGTCCCCCCCTCCCAGCTCCATCAACTCAGAGGGGCACCTGTCGTCTGCCCCAGGCTCGTCAGGCCTGGACCCCATGCCACCACCACGCCGACGCTCAATATCGCAACCACAAGGGCTGGGGCCAGGGCAGGGACAGGGGCAGGGGCAGGGGGACAGTGCAGGGGAGGCGGGAGGGAGTGACCAGGGAGGAGGGGCGGTAGCTGCTGCTGCTCCACCGGCTGCTCTCGGTGGCACGGGTAGCGGCACTGGCAGCGGTAGCGAGCACCAGTTACGTTACAGTCCTCCTCGTCCTCCTTCCTTCCCCCTTCTCGCCGTGACTCCCATGCTCTGCTTTTGTTCGCCCCTGTTTTCGTGATCGTTCGACGTCACCTCACCTCACCTCACCTCACCTCACCTCACCTCACCGCACCTGACCTCCCTCCCCACCTGCGTGCCCACCACCAGGAGCACCACGTTCAAGCCCACCCCTCCGCCACGGCGCAATATGGGCGAGCCATCAGCCCCCCGGTAAACCAACACGCCACAACAACCCTACAAACCAACAACCCGATTGACCAACCCTGGCAACCAGCAACCCAACAATCCTACCCCTTCCCCTTCGTTGTCTCCCTGATTTCGCCTCAGTGTCTGTGCTGTATCTACCAATTTGCCAATGCCATTGGTTGATCTCGCCGCTCGTACCGCCCGCAGTGCCCCTCAGTCCGGCCCCCTTTCAGGCCTCTGGTGTCCCACCAAACCTACTCTTCTTCTCTCCTCCATCCCCCCCTCCCCCCTCTCTCCCTCTTTCTTCCCTTCTCGCCTTACTGTGTGTGTGCCTGCCAACCTCCTGCCAACCTTCTGCCAACCTGTCCTCCTGCCGACCTGCCAACCTCCTGCCGTGCGAACCTGTCCTCCTGAAGCCGTAATCGGCGTGCCACGCTGGAAGTCAGTGACGAAGTGGCCAAGTGAGTCACACTCTCATCAAACTCCTCCCACCCCTCCCTCCCTCCCGCCCTTCCTCGCTCCCTCCCTCCCTCCCTCCCTCCCTCCCTCCCTCCCTCCCTCCCTCCCTCCCTCCCTCCCTCCCTCCCTCCCTCCCTCCCTCCCTCCCTCCCTCCCTCCCTCCCTCTCTCTCTCGCTCCCCCACTTCAGCCCTCTCTCTCTCTCACTTCCTTTCTCCTCCTCGTCTCACTGGTGTTCCCATCGTTGCATCCTTCCTTCTCTATGCCTGCCTGCCTGTCTACTTGCCTGCCTGCCTCCCGGCATCTTCTTAGCAGGATTTCCCTCACAATCCTCATACTCTATATCCAAACCATCACCCCCCTCCCTCCCGATGCCTTCCCATGCGCCCGACTGCGACCCGCGCCACGTGCACGCCGTGCAGGAAGGTGCGGGAGTACAACGAGCTAATTCGGAGGGACAGGAGGGCGTTGAGCGTGGAATCACCAGCGCCACCTCATGCACCAGCGCCGGGGGATGGATCAGAGCCCTCTGTGCTGCCGTCCCCGCTGCCGCTCGTGCTGCCCGCTGCTGCCGCTGCTGCCGCCGCTGCCTCTGCCGTGGTGGGTTGAAGTGAATGTTTCTTCTGCCTTTGTCTGTGTCTGCCTGCCTGCCTGCCCTCCTGCCCTCCTGCCTGCCTGCCTGCCTGCCGACACGTACCGATACATATCCCGGACCGCCCCCCTCCCTCACCCTCTTCCTCTCTCCGTACCTCCCCCGTCCTCCCTCCCCCGTCCTCCCTCCCCCGTCCTCCCTCCCTCGCAGCATGTGTGCCCCATGTGTCACCAGCCATTGCCGCGGGGCTCTTCATTGGCCACTACACCTGCCACGCCCGCCCCTGCTGCCCCTCTCGGGGCAGACCCATTCGCCCTCACACCCGGCTCTGCTGCTGCTGCAGCTGCCGCTGGGTCAGATGCCAACAACCTGGGTACCTCTGGTGGGTTCAGGGATTCGTTGGAACAACGGACGGCTACTACTGCTGCTGCTGCGGTGGGAGTAGCAGCAGCAGCAGCGGCAGGGGCGGGAGGAGAAGGAGGAGATGGGGCGGGGCAGGTCGAGAGAAGGGAAGGGGATGAAGCAGAAGCGGGTGGGCAAACAGGTGGTGAGGCGTTGGAGGGATTGGGGAGGAGTGCGGTGCTTGAGAGAGTGAGGGAGGTGGGGAGTGGTGCTGTGTCAAATAGCCTTGAGAGAGTGGTGGAAGAGCTTAGTATGGAGGGGAGGGAGGAGGAGGGGGAGACGACGCGTGAGGACGTGGGAGCAGGGGCAGGGGCAGGGGCAGGGGCGAGGCAGGGCGAGGGAGGCAGCAGTGCGAGGAGGGGTGTGGAGGAGGGTGGAGCAGAGAGGGGTGAAGGAGAGGGGAGCATGGGAACATCAGGAGGGGGGAGAGAGGGTATACAAGGGAGTGAAGGGCGAGAAAGTGGGGGTGCGGGAGCGAGTGAGGGAGAGAGACGAGGAGGAGGAGGAGGTGGAGGAGAGGGAGGTGGGGAGAGCGAGGCAGAGAGAGGAGGGGATGCAGGTGACAGCGGGCATGACAGAGGGACTGACGAGCATGAGAACAGAGAGGCGCGTGCAGTTCAGAGGGGCGGGAGAGAAAAGGAAGATGCAGGGGAAGGGGAGAGGGAGAGAGGCGGGGATGAGGGCAGGGAAGGAGGCACAGGTGGGGGTTCTGAGGGTGCAGGTGGTGGGGATGAAGGGAATGAAGGGGGCGTGGCTGGCAGAGGAGGTGAGGGCTCAAAGGATGATGATAAACAACAAGTGGAGACGCCACCACTGGAGCAACAGCAGGAACAGAAGCAACAGGAGCAGAAGCAGGAGAAGGAGCAGCAACATCTGCAACAGCAGCAGCAGCAGCCGCAGCAGCCGCAGCAGCCACGGATACAGCAGCTGCTGGTTCAGCAGCAAACAGACTCTTTAGAATCCACTCCCGTGTCCTCCCCGCCCAAAGCACACTCCACCAACCCCCACACGCCCACCACCGGCCTCTCACCACAACCCCCCTCCTCCCTCGCCATCTCCTCCCACCACCCCTCCTCCTCCTCTCTCTCCCCCCACCCTCCGGCCTCTGGCAACCCCCTGGTCTCACAGCCTGGTGCAGGTCCCTTGCTGGGATCAGCCAGTCATGTGGGGGGGATGGGAGCGGGGGCAGTGGTGGGGGGAGCGAGGGCAGGGGCAGGGGGTGGGTGGGTGGGGCCGGGAGCAGCGGCGGGGGTGGTGCAGCAGCTGTCGTTGCTGCCGCAGCAGGAGTGGACCATTGAGTTCTCGGAGCTCAGGCTGGGGATTCGCGTTGGCGTTGGTAAGAGGGCTGCTGGCTTGTGGTGGTGTTGGCTTGTGCTGCTTGTTTGTGGTCCTTAACTTGTTTGAGTTCTCAAAGCTCAGGCTGGGCATTCGCGTTGGCTTTGGTAGGAGGGCTGCTTTGCTTGTGGTGATTTCTCGTGCTGCTCGTTTGTGCAGCTTGTTGCATTGCTGGGCTACACGAAATGAGTGGTCAAGTCGTTCTCCATATACCTTGCTCGATCCAACCCACCGACTCTCCCCCCTGTTCTCCCCCATTGCCCCTTCTGACACGACTTCCTGCCCCCCACCCCCCTGCAGGGTCGTTTGGGGAGGTATTCAGAGCGGTGTGGCGCGGCACAGAGGTGGCGGTGAAGATGCTGTGGGAGCAGGACGCCAAGCCCGAGGACACAGAGGACTTCTACAACGAGATCGCGCTGCTCAGCCGCCTGCGCCACCCCAATGGTGAGGGTTTGCCCGCCGCTCTTTACTTTTGTGAGCCGATCAACTCAAGAAAATGAGCGCCATGCCAAGGCCGAAGACACGGAGGACTTGTACAATGAGATTGCGCTGCTCAGCCGCCTCAGACAACCCAACGGTGAGGGTTTGCCTGCTCTCCACTCTGTGAGTTGATCGGCTCATGGAAAAAGGGGCGCCATGCCACGCCTGAGGATACGGAGGACTTCTACAATGTGATTGCCGTGCTGCTCAGCCGCCTGCGATGCGCCACCCCCAACGGTCAGTGCCTCTGCCTGTGAGGCACCTCAAACGATTGGCCTCCTCCACACCCCGTCTCCACCCGCCAACTTACCCCTACCTCACCCCACCCAACCCCTCCACCCCCTATTTCTGTCCGACCTTTTCAGGCCTCCTTCCTCCAGAGATACCCCCTTGCAACCCGCCTCACTCTCTTTTCCCCCTCTCCTCCCCCCTCCCATTACTCCGTCCCCAACTCCCTCCTCCCACCCACGTCCCCCAAAACCACCCCATGCGTGCAGTGATTCTGTTCATGGGGCGTGCACGGTGCCCCGGCATCTGTCCATGGTAACGGAGTACATGCACATGGGTCGCTCTACCGCATCATCCACTCCTGCTTCCCCCCTCCAACTCCCCTCACTCTCTCTTCCTTCAGTAATTTCCCACCTGCGACGCACCTCACTCTCTGTTCCCCTTTCTACTGGCTCCCCTCTCTCCCCCCCCCCCCTGTTTTCCCCCTCCCCCACCCCCCAACGTCCTTCAAACCCACGCAGTGATCCTATTCATGGGGGCGTGCACGGTGCCCCCGCATCTGTCCATGGTGACGGAGTACATGCACATGGGGTCGCTGTACCGCATCATCCACACACGCAGCACCACCAAACCCAACCCCAACCCGGGGAAGGGAAGCTTGTCTCTCCTTGCAACTTCCTCACTCTCTTTTCCCCCTCCCCCTACCTCCCCTCCCCCACACCCCAACCCCCACCCGTGTCCCCCTAATCCCCACCATGCATGCAGTGATCCTATTCATGGGGGCATGCACGGTGCCCCCGCATCTGTCCATGGTGACGGAGTACATGCACATGGGGTCGCTCTACCGCATCATCCACACACGTGAGCCCGGCCAGGGCGGCGATTCCCTCAGCTGGAAGCGCCGCTACAAGATGCTCCGGGATATCTGCAGGTACAGAGGGGTGGAGGGGAGTGGGATGGAGTGCAGTGCAGTTGAGTGGAGTGGAGTGGGGTGGCGTGTGTGTGTTGTGGGAGCATCTGTGGAGTGTTATAGAATGGCTCTTTCTTCTTTACATCGTCCTTCTCCCTTCGCTGACCTCCAGGGGCATGCTATCTCTGCCTGTCTGCAGCGCTCCGCCATACCCCGCCCATTGTTTGGCATGCTATGTCTGTCTGCCTGCAGCGTTCCACCGGGACTTCTAGTCCAGTCCACCCACACACCCCTCCTTCACCTTCCAGAATGCGCGTGCTTGACATACTCACTCTCTGAATCCCCCTTCCCCTGCCTTGCCCTCCCCTTCCTTTCCCCCTCCCTCCACCCCCCTCCCTCCCCCAGGGGCATGCTGTGTTTGCAGCGCATGAGCATAATCCACCGCGACCTCAAGTCGGCCAACTGTCTGGTGGACCGGCACTGGTGTGTGAAGGTGTGCGACTTTGGCCTGTCGCGCATCGCCACCAACGGCCACGTCGTGGGCCGCACCGCTGCCGGCACGCCCGAGTGGATGGCGCCGGAGCTGCTGCGCAACGAGCGGTGCTCCTTCAAGTGCGACGTGTTCAGTTTGGGAGTGATCATGTGGGAGCTTGCTACTCTGCGCCGGCCCTGGGAGGACTGCAACGGGCCGCTGGAGGTTAGTTGAGGGGGGTGACAGGGGTGGGGTGGGTGGGAGGGGAGGGTTGAGGACGTTCGTTGAGGGTTTGGGAGGGATGGGAAGGGATTGGGTGGCCTGCAGAATCTCCAAACTTGAGGCTCCCCAACGATGGCGCCGGAGCTGCTGCGCAACGAGCGGTGCTCCTTCAAGTGTGATGTCTTCAGCCTGGGAGTCATCATGTGGGAGCTTGCTACTCTGCGCCGGCCCTGGGAGGACTGCAATGGACCGCTGGAGGTGCGACGTTTGGGGATGGTTGTTTCAGGAAGGTCTGGGAAGGTTTGTGAAGGTTTATGGAGGGTCTGGGAGGGTCGAGGAGGGTTTGGGAGCGATGTGGAGGAATGTGGTTCCGCTCCGCACATCACCCCCTAACTTGAGTCGCTCGATTCCACAACTTTGTTGCCTCCTATCTATTCCCTCTGTTGCCCGTTGCCCCCTGTTGACCGCATTTCACCTCCCATCGATCCCCCATCCCCCCCACCCTCCCTTGCCCCCTCACTTGCCTGCCCCTCATCTCCCCCCAATCCCCCCCCTGGCGCCAATACCAGGTGGCATACGCTGTGGCTCACCACAACTCGCGCCTGCCTGTGCCCAGCACCAGCCTTGGCCGCCTCATCTCAGGTACGAAGGAACCTCTCTCTCTACCTGTTCTTCCCTCCCCAATTTCCTCTGCTTTTCTCTTTCGCTCTCTCGCCCTCCCCAAGTCGAAGCCTTTCCTGCCACCAACGAACCATCTGGCTTCTCTTCAATTCAATGCCAACCAACCCTGTGCGTGGCCAGATTGCTGGAAGGAGGATCCGGACCAAAGGCCCGATTACGAGGAGATTCTGGAAAGATTGCACGAGTGCGAATACATGGACTCGTGATGATTCTTCGTGAGTCGCAAGTGGTGGTGGACTGTGATTGGGGAGTTTATAGGGCTTGTTCTGCGAGGGTGTGGCCTGTGAGGAGTGATGAGTGCACTGTGGGTGTTGGCCCCTCTTTCTTCGCTTGCATTAGTGCAGCGTAACCGTTTGGGGGGATGCCATATATGAAACCGCCAGGTTGCCGGTATCTATTTTTTATTTTATTCAAATGTTTGTTCGTTCATTATGCGATTCTTGCCAACAGCCTTGACCTTGGAGAAAATTGGCCATTACTTCCCTTCGCGGACATCAGGAAAACATGATACGGTATAGGGAAAAGTGTTATAAAAGACTCTACATACGGTACTGTAGCATTCCACTGCTGCATAAGGATGGGCTGAAATTGATTGATCTCTACACTATTTTAGTAATGTCTCAGTGTTTCTAAACAGAGTATATACCCCATGAATTAAGGTACTTCAGGGTTTAGGGTACCTGTATTCAATGGAAAATCAACAAAACCCCCCTAACTTCAAACCAATGGGTTTTCTTTCTTCCCACCCTCCAACCTCTGCTGCCCCACTCCACCCCCCCTTAACCCTCGTACGGTACACCCTGTTCCACCCCACTCCAACCCACTCCACCCTTCTCCACCGCTCATCACCGCTGCTTCGCGAGCTGCAGCAGCCTCTGCAGCTCCGCCACCTGCTGCAGCAGGTCCGTGTGCTCGTGCTGCAGCGCTGCCAGCCTGGCAGTGGCGTCCGCCAATCCCTTGCGTGCGTCCGCCCCGTCCACCTGCAGGTGCGCCGCCATCACCTCCAGCTCCTCCAGCCTCTGCTGCCGCCGCTGCCGTGATCGCTTGGCTGAAGCTCGGTTCGACACGATTCTGGGAAGTGGGGGTGGGGGGAGGAGGGATGGTGAGAGCGGGGAGGGAGGGAGGGAGAGAAAGTGGGGGAAGAGTAGGGGAGAGGTTAGGGAGACAAGGAGCGGGGGCGGTGGTGGGAGAAGAAGGCGAATGGTGTGTTTCGTTCAGGATAATTGACAGCCAGCGCTGAACCCCAACCCCCTACATGCAGGTGCAGAACCGGGCTCACCGTTTCTGCTTCTTCTCGCTCATGACGGGGATCCTTCCCACGTCGTGCCCTCCTGCTTGCGCCGCGCTCGGTCGCATCAGAAATCCTTGCGGCATGGCGCCCATTGTTAGGGACGGTCCCATAAACGACATCCACGGTGCCGCCCCTGTTCCCATTCCTCCTGCCCCCATTGCTGCCCCCATTGCTGCCCCCATTGCTGCCCCCATTCCTGCCCCCATTCCTGCCCCCATTCCTGCCCCCATTCCTGATCCCATTCCTGCTCCTCCCCCCCCTGCTGCGCCGGTCGTCGCCGTCGCCGCCGCCGATGCCGTCTGCGCGGCGGCCAGCGCGCTGGTTGCAGTGGCGGCGGCAGGGGAAGGCGGTGACCCGCGCATGGCGGCGGGGTTGGCGGCGGAAGTCCAGGCGCCGCGCGGGCTGGTGAGGCCGTGAGATGCGGAGAGACGCGCGGTCATTTCGCTGGTGGGATTGGAAGCGTCGAGGAGAGGCGGTGGGACGAGCAGAGGGCTGGCGGGATGGTGGTGCAGCGAGAAACGAGAAGGGGTGGGGGGAGGGGGAAGGGGGGGAGGGGACAGGGTGGATTGGCGGGGAAGTAAGGAGAAGTGAAGCGAGGAGATGCGAGAGGGAAAGAGGAGAAAAGCATGTGGGGGGGGCGCGCAGCGTAATTCGCATCCATGTATCAATGGCGCGCGCACCCATGCATCGGCGCGCGCGGTACTACCGCCATTCGCTGCTACTCGGCGCGCTTACCCAGGCGAGGGGAACGCGGGGAGGAGGCTGACAGGCGACAGGAACGCCGGGCCGCACGCCAGCCAGTCTAGATGCTGCGACGCGACTCCGGCGGCAGCGTGAGAAGCGGCGGCGGGAGAGGCGGTGGGATAATGCAGCGTGAAGGGCGGCATGGGGAGTTGCGATGCGGAGAGGTGAGGGGAGGCGGCAGCGCCATGCGCGCCCGGGGGCCAGCCAGACTGTGGTTGCGCGGGAAAGTCGAGACTGACGGAGTCGTCGCCCGTGATGTCCGCCGGGAAATCCGGTCGCTTGCACATGGTGCTGAAGATGATGATGCGGGTGATGCGGGTTGTCTCAACGGCGAGGTAGCTTGTGCGCGCGGGGCGGAGGGGAGCGCTGCGAATAGGGGTTGGGGTACGGGTAGACTGCGAATGTACCCCTTACTACCTAATAGTGAGGAGGTATGGCAACAGCTTTCGAGGCGGGTTAACAGAGCTAAGCAGGCCGAACAAGGACGGTAAAGGACGGCAGGAGACGGCAGACACGGTGGTAGCTGATGGGAATGGTCCAGGAGGGAGATCAAATCTGGCGTAGTACGTGTATTAACGGGCTGCTGACGTGTCAGTGCTATGACGAGACCAGGAATTTCGCGAGACGATGAAGCGATGGCTGGATACGTGGAATACAGCACCAATTGGTAGCAGGATACACGGGCGAGCGGAGTAATTGGTAGCAGGGTAGCAGCACCGCAGTGGCGTGAGAGGAGAAAGGGCGATAGTAGGCGAGTGAACCGTGATGAGGATCAGGGCCCAGGGGTGGTGGCGATGGTGGTGGTGACGGTGGTGGTGGCGAGGGGGGAACGTGGACGAAGGGGAAGAGGAGGTGGCAGTGGCACGTGACGAAGACTCACGCGTGCCTGATCGCGCAACTGATCCAACCCACCGCCACACAGCACAAATCAACGTCACGGAGGTGGAGGTGCGAGTGGGGGTAAGCGCGCGGATGCGCGACTCGTCCCGGGGCACATGCAAGATCAGAAAGGCGATGCGATCTCGCTTGGTCCCGTTCGTAAAGAAATGACACACGCTGTAGGCACTGTAGCTACGCTGCCGCTACCCAATCCACCACGAAAAAGGGTAGAACTCGGCTCCTCCGCATTTCTTTCCAGCGCTGCCCAGAACGGGATCTGAGTGCATCATCGACATTACAGACAGAAATACACTGTAATGCTGGGCTGGTAAGTTTGACTGTCAAGGACCTCCCCTGACGTGAAGTTTGTACAGTCGAAGCGCGTTACAGTCACACTTGGTAGGTGAGCAGAATGTTCTTGAAACGAGCAGGCTATTTCGCCTGATGTTCGCGCACGTCGCCACTGGCATAAGGTGATTGCAGGGTTGCAAGGTTGTAACATGTTTACCTTTTCCCAGGTACTGTGGACCAGCGTCCGTTGTTGTTTGTGCATGTTCCTAGTTACCGTGCAAGCCATCAGTGGCTTCGCGCTGCATTTCGGGACCCTGTGTGAAGAGACGAACACGACTAAAGAACACAGCGAAGACTTCGCTGCAAATCGGTAAGAAGCTCGCAGCATTTGCTGTAGTGTTTGTCTTGTGTGCCAAGGTCGAAGCGCCCTGAAATCCGCCCGACAAAAACCACATGCCACCAAAAATTTGAGTGACTGTACCCCTTGTGACATCACCCGGTAAAACATGCAATTGTGAGTAAATTTCTAATTGTGTGGGCAAATTTTCTGTGATAAGGTGAGCATCGACTGTATGGATAGGATTTCCGCATACGGGCAGCATTTGCTTCCGAAGGCGGCTTGTATTCAAAACTCCTTGGCGAAATCGCGCGCATCGGCGGAAATCGTGTTTGTCTCAAAAGAATCGACCCAAATTGCTCCCCGCTCGCCACGTGGGCGTTTTTCTCAATTGATTCGACCCCCTTTCCCCCCACCCCCCCACCCCGTTTTTCCCGCCCTTGCCCTCCGAAATTCGGGCACCCGCTGGAATTTCGTGAAATCACAAAAAGTCACGAATACATGCTTTTTACATCAAGCCAAATCCACCATGTAGTTGTGGCATGCCACATCAGCTTTCGCAATCGATAATTTCGGCGGTTGCTTCTCAATCTCAGGAGGCTCATATGCACGTTGATTGTATCGAATTTTTTTGGATTAGCCCATGCCAGTAATGTAGATAAGGGCGCAAAAAAAAAAACACATGACGAATCAACCTATAGTTTCTTTATGTTTTCTATATATCTACATGAAGCTTATTCCAGAAAACTTAATAATAGCTCAACGGCAAATAAAAATAAATCTCTTTTGAAATAGGTAGATATTTTGTTTGATTGTACTTCTTGATATTATTTAGAAAAAAATATTTACTCGTATTACAAAGATTAAAAAAAATATGTTACTGCAGTGGCACATAATTAATAAAATCCATATTACTGCTAAATTTATCATTAGAAGTCATAGGTGTTCTGTCCAATCAGATGTCGCTCGCATGTTGAAATCTTAGCGTTACGAAAAAACATGTATTCGTGACGTTTTGTGATTTCACGAGATTCTAGCGGGTGCCCGAATTTCGGAGGGCAAGGGCGGGAAAAACGGGGTGGGGGGGCGGGGGGAAAGGGGGTCGAATCAATTGAGAAAAACGCCCACGTGGCGAGCGGGGAGCAATTTGGGTCGATTCTTTTGAGACAAACACGATTTCCGCCGATGCGCGCGATCTCGTCAAACTCCTTGCAGTGCTGTCCAGCCGCTCGAGGCTCCATTGGCGAATCCAGAATGCGTCAGCTGGGGACAATGTGGGTCGTTGCGCAATCCAGAAAGCATTCCACGTTGGCTCCACATGTTAGTGGGCAATGTTAACGAGTACAGAAATGAGGAACATGTTCTATTTTAACATCAAATACAATTCAAATCATGAAAACGTCCATGGCTTTGTAAACATTATGGTTGCAATGGGCACACCATCAAAATCAAAATTTAACATAATTAACTTGGAAATGCTATAGTTTATTCTATTTCAACATGATGTTTATCATCCATATACTATTCCAATATAGAATGTGCGAAGTCCTTCAATGATATGAATATTATTCATAGCTACTCATCTAACTTACAATACTGGCAGGGCCTTCAATGGAGAACAAAATTTTCTTCGCCAACGACTGCATCGCCACTAGCACCCCAGTCCCCTCTCCGCTCCCTCGCCAGCCCTCCATCGCCTTCCCTTGCGTCACTTCCAGGTGGTGATGATTTTTTTGGGTTGCGAAGCAACCTATTACAATCGTTATGTACAATTTTTTTTTCATCCACGATATTTATAGAAGATGAAAAAAATTGTTATGAACAATATTGTCAAAGTAACTAGGCAAGAATGAATGAACTAGGAGAGGGGGGTTTGAACTAGCAGGCAGTTGAGTACAAATAGCAAACCCTAGATTGGGCTGTACTCGCTATAGAGTACCCCACTGCAGGCTAGACAATAATAGCATTCTGACACACCCCCATAGCCAAAGTGGGGTGTAATCAGCAGAGCAAGCAAAGCAGTACAAGCTCAGGGTGGATCACAATGTCACCACACATTCTGAGCACAAGTTCAAGAAGCAATAGTTTAAAGTTCACAGTTATGAGCAAAGCTAGAGGCAGTCACAGAGGGCAAGCGAGGAGGAGGAGGGCTGGCGAGAGGAGAGAAGATGAAAGGCGCCGACTGAAGCTGCAGACACACGGGCAACAGGAGCGGCGCGCACAGTGGCTACCGAGCGCACGAGGGCACCGGACTACGGGAGTATCTGGCTCCGCGGCTACGACGAGCACACACAGGAGCAACGGACCCACAGGCGACTGGCGAAGCAGGCTCGCTGGGCTACCGAAACGCGCGAGGGCATCCGGACTACTGGCGCTGCTGGCGTCACGACGGCTACCTCCACGCAATCTCCCCCGACCGTCCCACGCCCCTCTCACACACCCCCTGCTGACACCCTAGCTCCACTCCGACGGTACCCCCCTTAAACCCCAAACCCTAGGCTCCCACACACCACCCCCCTCAGCGGCAGCTGTAGCAGAGGGAGACGAGGGAGGAGGAGGAGCAGGGGGAGGAACTCACAACCGACACCCCCATAGCCGCCACCCCCACACTCTTCACCCCCAAACCCTAATTTAGGAGAACGGGCTGTAGGAGGGGTGAGGCGCCGGTAGAAGCACGGGGGACAGTGGAGAGGGCAGGAGCAGCGAGGAACGGGCCGCCCACGGGCCTGGTAGAGCCGCCCGAACCGCGCGCAGGCGGCCCGAGCCGCGCGCGGGCCTGGCGCTTCCCGTACGGGCCGCGCGCGTGCCTGGCGCAGCCCGTACGGGCCGCGCGCGGGCCTGGCGCAGCCCGTACGGGCCGCGCGCGGGCCTGGCGCAGCCCGTACGGGCCGCGTGCCGGGTGTACGGGCCGCGCGCAGGCCACGACGGGCGACGGGGGGCGACGCGCGGGTCCCCGTCGCCCGTCGCAGCGCCTCCCGGGGGCGACGTGCCGAGTGACGGGGCAGGAACCCGCCGCGCGCCTCGGGGCACACGGCGGGCAGAGAACCGCCGCGCGCCTCGGGGCGCACGGCGGGCAGAAAACCGCCGCGTGCCTCGGGGCGCACGGCGGGCTGAAAACCCTAGTTTCGACGCCGCGCGCCACGGGGCTGTCAGAATATTATGCTCTAGCCTGCAGTGGGGTGCTCTATAGCGAGTACAGCCCTTCTAGGGTTAGCTATTTGTACCACCGTTGTTGCTAGTGCAAACCCCTCTTTCGTTCAATTCTCTCTTGCCTAGCTAGGGTTCTCCTAGCTATGGCCTCTCACTGTACCTACTATTTCGACATGGTATTAGAGCGGTTACGCTCTTGGCCTGTGGGCCCCACTACTGCTTCCGCTGCCCTACTCTGTGCCGCGCGCCCCGTGGCGCGCGGCCTTCAATTTTTCATCCCGCCGCGCGCTCGGAGCGTGCGGCGGTTCCCTGCCCGCCGTGCGCGCCGAGGCGCGCGGCGGTTTCCAGCCGTGGGGGAGCCCGCGCGCACCCCGCCCGTCCGTCGCGGCGCCCTGGGGAGCACTCGCGGCCCCCACCCTGCACGTCGCGTCGCCCCCGTCGACCCTAGCGTCGCCTCCGGGGACCCGCGCGCACCCCCCCACCGTCGACTCGCCTCCCGTCGCCCGTCGTGGCCTGCGCGCGGCCCGTACAGCCGGCGCGCGGCCCGTACGGGCTGCGCCAGGCCTGCGCGCGGCCCGTACGGGCTGCGCCAGGCCTGCGCGCGGCCCGTACGGGCTGCGCCAGGCCCGC